CCCCAAAACCCCAAAACCCCGATATGCCATATTATTTATTCAATTTCTGATAAATTTGAAATGATAAATTTGAAATAGAAAATTTAATTAATATTCTTGATTAGGAAAAATTTCTTTAAAAATTTAAAAATGGACAAAAAGTAGAGTAAGAAATCATAAAAGAATGATGAGGAGAAGATGAACTATAATTCTGACGATGACTTCAATTGGGATTCTCATGAGGATGAAGAAAATGGCGAGCATAATTAGCTTTTACAAGATTTTAGAAAAAACTAAATTACAGCAATTAATGGGTAAGATAACTAGAAATCTCAGAAAAAAGAGTATTCTAGTGAGGAACTTAGAAGATAACCCATTTTTCATTCTAGATAAAAAGGCCTGTTTGAAAAACTTTGTAAATGCTGCAAATCTAACCAAGACCTGAATAGTAGAGAGGTAAAAAACCCCATTATGTTTTAGCTATATTGTTTAGATTAAGTATTTCATGAAATTTAGGGATGAAATGGTACAATCATATGATGAATCAAATCCACAGCATGAAGTAATTTTTTAGTTAAAACTTATCATAAATAGGAAATCTTGAAGCAATTCTACATTATAGCATTCAAACCAAATGAGGATGAAATTCCACCAGATCTAAAGAGTTAAAATTGGAGTGAGATAGGATTTCAAAGTAAAAATGCAAGAACTGACTTCAGAGGTGCTGGTCTTCTAGGTTTGCATTGTCTCAGATACTTTGCATCTGTCTATCCAGCTGAATTTGCCTAGATGAGAAATAATACTTCAAGCAACTTTTTCATCGCGATAACTAGTCTTAATATCACTCACATGATAATTGTATACCTGTATATGAACAGAGAAGAAGTACAAGATAGATTGAAAAAGCTGAGAGCCGGGAGAAAACAATTGAAAAAATTTGCCTTTCTAAATCAAAAGACAAAGTCTACATTTTTTGAGTTAAACTCTTTCATGCTTCAATATGTATATCATCTTTGGATTAAAGAATCTTCTGAAAAAGCAAAGGTTACAAGATTACCCCCAGATTTTTAAGCTATTTTAGATAAAGCAAAAAAATAAGGACTTCATCATACTCTGTCTAATCTCGAAAATTTTATTAACAATCTGACGCTTTTGAGGATAAGGCTAAATGCTATTATAAGGGAGAAGTTTTAAAAAGAATTCTTGAGTGAATGAGTATAAAATTTGAAATATATAATAAAATATTTGCAGATTGAATATTTGCCTTCAATATTCATTTAAGGGGTTTTGGGGTTTTGGGGTTTTGGGG